TCTTTTCTTTTCTTTCCTCTTTTTCTTTTTTTCCTATTTTTTTCTTTTCTTTTCTTTTTTTGCCTTGCCTTTTTCTTTTTCTTTTTTTGATGGTTGACTGCTCCCTTATTTATTCCAATATTTCTTTCTGTGTGAAGTGGGCTTCCTGTGTTTTTAGTGCAGTATGGGTAATAATAACATCCCATCCCAATATAGAGGAAGCGAATTTTCGACGTCCTTTTTGAGAAAAAATTAACCACATTAATCGCCCAAAAATGAACAAAGAGCACCGACAAATCCTCAGGAAGAATAGATTAGCTCTAGTAGAAGACCTCGAGCCGCGAATTATCCTCAATTTCTTATTCCAAGAGGGAATTTTTTATGAGAACGACTTGGAGTTGGTGAACAGTTTGCCGATCCGACAAGAGAAAGCAGAACAAATATTAGATACACTGCCTAGGAGAGGTCCTAAAGCTTTTAATGCTTTCTATGAGGCTTTGAACTCCGGTGGAAGCCAGAGACATTTAGCTGACCTGCTTTATCCCAAGACTCCGATGCAAGGTATTCTTTCTTACTCGGTATAACTCGTCTATACCGAATATAAATTAGCTTAGCTTGTCTAATTGAGCCTTATTCCAGGAAAGACTGGTTTTAATCCTTATCCACTAAAAATGAATTTTTTCAGGTATTCAAACCGTAAATTGACTGAACCTAATAGTAATGTAACCTTCAGCTTTATCATTATGGAAGCATATATTTTAGGCGGAAGAGGGTAGGGAGAGGGGAAGGGTGGGGGGGGGGGGGGGGGGGGGGGGGGGGGGGGGGTCGGGGTATGCATAGCATAATGCTTTCATTGTAACAAATATAACCAAACGTAACCAATGTAACCAAAGGAGACTGAAACTGCAATGAGGAGGTTCACTGTAACATGCCGAAAAATAGATGAATTGTATGATTTATACGTGGGGGGGGGGGGGGGGTACTCTTTTCTGTTTAGGGTAGGGATGTGCCGCTGAGCGCTCTGAACCCTGACCCTGTTCCAGAGTAAAATCGCTGAAAGTCATACCCTGTTCTCGAGCAAGATCGCTGAAAATCATACTCTGTTCCGGTATTGCGAAAATAGATACCCAGTTCCAGAGAGGAGAGAGCGTGATTTCATATACCCTGTTCCAGAGCGAGCGTGATTTTATATACCCTGTTCCAGAGTAGAATCGCCGAAAACCATACCCTGTTTGGCGGCACATACCCGTATAGCGAATACAGGGGAGTACAACCCCTGGATTTATATGTTAATTTTTGTATGGTATAGTATATCATATATGTGCAGGCGGGGTGGACAGCTTCATGTTTCACCTATCAAATTTCTTGTACTAATGTGTCATGTACAATTTCGAGGCACATTAATTGAATCAGTCATTCACAAATCATGCACATTTCAGTAGAATCACGCATCAATGATAATAATAATGATAATAATATTTCATATATTGTCAATTCCAAGAGTTCAACAACTTTCCATCTCCTCTTTTTAGAAACTTCCCCACCTGGTTTTATAAGTTCCACCTCAAGTGCAAGGCCGTCGAGCGAAGAACCAAGCAGGCCATCAGAACCACGTGAAAATGATAGTGAGATAGAAGGAGCTTTTTCTAGACTGGAAGTAAGTGGTAGAGGTAGTATTCATCTTGATCCTCCTTCAACAGCACCACCAACAACAACAACAGCTGCAGAAACTCAAGATAGCGATGTTTATCCAATGAATCGTTGTCCACATGGATTGTGTCTCATTGTCAATAATGCCAGCTTTGAGGCCGAAAGTAGACTAAATAATCGCAGAGGATCAAATGTAGATGCTCGTAACCTCCAAACTTTGTTCACATCCTTACGCTACAGAGTAAAGCTTGTCGAAAATGTCCGAGCGTGGAAATTAAAAGATGTAGTTTTTAAATTTGCCAAAGACCCAGATCACAAGAATTCTGATTCTGTGATTGTTTGTCTCTTGAGCCATGGTTTGGAGGGGAAAATATATGGCATTGATGGAGGTCTTGTCTCAATTGAAGACATTTTGAAAATGTTCAAAGGAAATAATGCTAAAGATCTTGTCGGAAAGCCAAAACTATTTTTCATCCAAGCCTGCAGAGGTGGGGAATTTGACAGGGGAATCAGCTTTGACAAAACAGACTCTCCTGATACACCAGATGAAGAGAAAAAAGTTGAAGAAATTTTAGAAGAGTTTTTCCCTGAAGAGGATGTCATAGACAGTGGTTTTCTAAGCCAGCAGTCTCTTCCCTCCGACTCAGATATTTTGATTGCTTATTCAACTGTTCCTGGCTTCGTATCCTGGCGTAACCAAGACGAGGGGTCTTGGTTTGTCCAGGCATTGGTTGATGTTTTCAAAACATATGCATCAAAGGAAGATATCCTGAGCATGATTACCAGAGTTAACAGGAAAGTTGCTCTGGAGTTTCAATCTTCATGCAAAAAGAAGCAAATGCCAGCACCCGTTCTTATGCTAACAAGAAAACTTTATTTTCATCATCAAAATTGAATATTGGAAACTTATGATCAACTTTTCTCAAAATGAGATTGTAGGTAGATAACTGTAGTGGGTTTACATAGCTGACACTTCTCGAGTATTCTTCCAATTCCCAAGTACTTTATAAATCCACACAGCACAAGCAAGTTTTTTATTCATTTTACGAGATACAAATACAATAACCGTTATTTTAGATAGGAATGATGCAACTGAAAGTGTGCAAGCGTGCTGTGTGCTCTCATAAAGCACGTGCTCCAAACCAATCAAAACACACGATTTATAGCTAAAGTCATTTTATTTATAACTTTTTTGCCTAAATAGTTGCCTAAATATATAGAAATTCCACATAATTATGATGCAGGATTTTTTTTTACATTTATATAGTAAAGACCATTTACTTTTGGTCAATACCAAGTACCAATGCTTTTGGTAATATTCTAATAAATTTCTAGCTAATCTGCCATCTTTAAATTACTTCATAGTTAGACATTGGTAACCTTTGTATCCCAACTTTAACTCTGGTCAAGACTTTCTGTGAATCACTGCAAGATTCCTCTTGTTTGACCCCACTGCACTGTTGTGAAATTATAATTGACCAATCAATCAATCACTTTTATTTCCTGAGGTTAGAGTGCAAACGATATAATCGTGAAATGTTAGTAATACTAAATAGCACAACTTCATGCAAATTCAATTGTTTTCTATTGTTTGATTAGCACTATTTTGTACTATTTAGTAACTATGGTGTTTCACGGATTAATTGTTTGCACTCTAACACACAACAGTTTTAATGTAAAGAATACTGATAACTCAGTGGAACTCAAAAATAATATATATAAAATTGACATTCAATCAAGGTATTCAATCAATAAGGCTACAAAGTAGGTTCAAAGGATTATTCAAATTTGAATCTTGCAATATCTTTCACATTCTTTGTACTGATTGACCAGAGAACCAATATGGGGAGGGTGAAGAATTTGCAGACTGTCTCAACCAGAAATAAAGTCAGACTCCATGTAGGCTAGATATTGGCTGCTAAAAGATTATAAATACATTTAGTAGATAAATACCAGTGGAAGTTTGATTCCTGTGGACTCTAGATATTCATCAAAGTGATGATTAAAAATAAGTGTTGTGACACGCCCTGTATTCAAATGTTATAGAATGAAATGTCAAATAAAACTTAGTGTATCTACAATAGCTACAAATGTCTGCAGCTGTTACAGTTTTGTCTGAAAAATACCACAAATTGCTATTATGAGTGCAGTTTTCTGCTAACACAAGTATCTTTCCCAGGTTATAAGCCTCTTCGGGTCAGTCTTTCATTTATTACTATTGGACATATAAAAGATTGACTGAAAAAAATTGAAAAAATTTTTTTCTTCATCCCAAACTATCTTCTTCCAGTTATGACTATCAGGGCCATTGCCGCCTGTACACTTGGCGATTCAAAAACCTTGTCATCAACCACATCAAGCCTACGGGACTGAACCAAAAGAGACTCTGGATAGAATCACTGAAGCATTTGACTGCATAATTTTTTTTGATTAGTTGTCACTTCTGGTTTCAAGATGAACCTTCGCAGGCCAGGGGGAAGTGTTGAAAGAAACGTTTTTAATGCCTTCACATTTTCAAAACAAATCATAACTACATTCTTTTTCTTTCCCCAAGGACATCAATTTAATGAATTTTTTATTGCTCTCCATCATTATCTTATTACTAGCAGAAGCAATAAAATCAGAATGAAAATACAATCCCTTCAGTGAGTTTTACCCATATTCCTTTTGGTAAACTCACATAGGCTTGAGCTGGTCCACAACATTTTTGAATTGACTGTAAGCCCCTTCCC